CAGCGGCTGCTGCCCCGCGATCGCTAAGGAATGCGGCGACTCCGCATAACCACGGGGTCAGAGGTCACGGCTCCGGCCTCCGCTTTCCCGCTCTGCTGAGGGACCGAGACAGGACCGGCGGCGGGGCGGGAGGGCGAAACGCGGCTTTCCCTTCGGCGCCCGGGTGTGTGCGTGTCTGCCGTGGGTGTGTGTGAGTGTGTGTGAAGAGTGAGGAGGGGGAGTGTGGGGTTTTTTTTTTTTGAACAAAAACAAACCGAAAGGACGGCTGGGAGTCGTAGTCCCAGCGGCCTCTCTGGCCTGCCCCGCTCCGGAAGAATATGGCCGTGTGAAGGGCGTGGACCACACTTCCCGGCGTGCCCCGCGGCCCCCTTCCGCTCTCCCTCTGGCGTCCTCCGCCTAGCACCGACCTCAGCTAGGAACGGGGACGCATCGCTGTTCGGGGAAGGGGCTGGGTAGAGTCTCGCGAGGTGCGGGAACTGGCTGGGTGCCTGAGGGATTCTGGGAGGCGATGCTGGGAAGGGGCGGTGGCTGGGCTCCCCCGGCCGCCCTTAACCCCTTAGGTGCTTTTTGCCTCAGGACCTCCGGGCGGGTGCGGGTGGGAAGTGAAGATGGGGAGCTCGACTCGCAGCTCCCACTTCGTGCTTCTCCTCGCCTAAATGGTTCTCACCTATACTTCTCGTAGGGGACGAGAGGCAGGACTTTCCCTTTAGGTCCCCCCTAAATGACTCACTGCCACATAATAATGAGACAGAAAGACCCTCATACCAGTAAAACGGTTATTCCACGGTTGATGGACTTTGACGGTTCCTCATTTCCTCCTATGCTTTCAGGCCGCTGTTTATTTGCAGAGCCTGCGTTCTTACCACTTGAGGAACTTGGTGATACGTTGACGGGTCGCATAAAGGACTTGGACTCTGGGGCCATACTGACTAGAATGCACCTGAGTGCGTTTTTAGAGGCAGTACCCTGGAGAGAACTCAGGCCCTGGAGTCCAACGGACCTAGACTGGAATCTTGGCTGAGTCACTCCCTGGCTGTCCACTCAACCTGAGCCTCAGTTTTCTGATCTGCATTTGTCTTGTATTTCATGGCATTATTGGAATTAAAATTAACATAAAATTCTTGACAGATTGGAAGAGGATGTGAAGGGAGATCTTGACATTATTAGGTTCGCATGATTTGGCGCCTGGCATAGAGTAAATGTTTAATAAATGGTGGCTGTTATTACCAGGTGAGAGACAATGGGCAATGTACTTAGCTTCTCTGAGCCTTAGTTTCAGAACCTGAAATGAAATTGAGAGCGCCCAGCACATAGGTTTTCTGTACCTATAGGTTCAGTCGTTGTCCAGAAACATTTCTAGATTCCGTCTTGAGTTGGATTGATGCCAGCTCTTAAAAACCGTGAAGGCAGGATCAGTGGCCACATGTAAAGGTTTCCCTGGGTGAGGAAACACACCCCCCACTCCCTAATGTTAACAGGTAGCAAGAGCCAGTATTGACAGGAGACCATTATGGTGTAGCCCAAACTCTAATGCCAAGGGGTTCAATGTTCTGCTTCTAATACTGGTCACAGAAAACTTTTGAGTCTGGTAAGCAAAATCCTACAAATGGAAAAGACTGCAAAGTTAGAATAAGACACCTCTTAAAATCTCTCTAGCTCTACCCTGAGAGAAAGGAGGAACTACCGTCCCCCAGAAAACTGTTTGACTTGATTTTTTACAAAGGATTTTTAGCTTTTTTTTTTTCCAATCTACAACTGATACAGTACTCTTTGGCAAGTCATTTGGCTTCTTTCAGATGTCTTCTGAAGTAGCTTTACTCCCCTCTGACCTACAGGGAATAACTGAAATTTACATGTTTAATACAGGCACTGTGGTAGACAGAATAATGTCTTCCCCTCTTGCTCAAAACTGTCCAAGCCCTAGTCCCTGGAACCTGTGAATATGTTGTTTTTTTGTTTTTTGAGACAGAGTTTGGCTCTGTTGCCCAGGCTGGAGTGCAGTGGCGTGATCTTGCCTCACTGTAACCTCCGCCTTCTGGGTTCATGCGATCCTCCTGCCTCAGCCTCCCAAGTAGCTGGGATTACAGGCATGTGCTACCGCACCCAGCTGATTTTTGTATTTTTAGTAGAGACAGGGTTTCCCCATGTTGGCCAGGCTTGTCTTGAATTCCTGACCTCAGGTGATCCGCCCATCTCAGCCTCCCAAAGTGCTGGGATTACAGGTGTGAGCCACTGTGCCCAGCCAGCATTCTTTAGCAAAAGATACTTTGCCAGTGGAAATAAAGCCCTTAAAATAAGATGATTCTGTATTATCTGGGTGACCCCAATGTAATCACATGAACCCTTAAGAGCAGAAGAGGGAGGCAAAAGAGATGTCTTGGAGAGATGAAGCAGAAGAATTAAATTCAAAGTATGAGAGGAACTCAGCCCACTGTTGCTGGCTTTGAAAGTGGCCATAAGCCAGGGAATCCAGGCAGCTTCTAAAAGCTGAGAGGAAGTCCTGCCAAGAGCCAGCAAGGAAATGGGGACTTCAGTCCTATAACCTCACAGAGCTGAATTCTGACAACCTGAATGAACTTGGGAACAGATTATACCCCCTCCCCAACTCTCCAGAAAGGAATATAGACGCCTTGATTTCAGCCTTGTGACACTGGAAGCAGAGAATCAGCTGAGCCATGGAATCCAGACATCGGGCCCACAAGAAGTGTGAAACAGAATTGAATATTGTTTTATGACACTAAATCTGTGGTAACTTCTTACAGCCCCAAAAGAAAGCTAATACAGGCATTATGGGAACACCTTTCTTTCAGCGAACACTGCCTGACTTCAGTTGGGTCAAACCATGGGGGAATCCAGATGTGAATATTTCAAGGTCTCTGCCCTTGCAGAATCAAACAGAAACAAATGACAACATCATAGTTAAGTGTGAAAACAGAATATGTTCAGAGAACTGTACAGATGTGTTAGAAAGTTGGCTTTAGTCATTAAACATTAAGTAGATGTGATTTTTTAAAGTTAATGAGATTCATGAGTTTATTTTCTTGTCAGAAGCACCAACAGACAAAACAGTTGGTGTGTGTTTTTCTGTTTTTTAATCACAGTGCTTTTATTATAGATTATCTTCAGAAGTTAGTGCAGGTGGCATGTGGAACATAAACAGGACGGATACTCAACACTGCCTAGTTTGGGGATGAGTCACTGTTTTCAAACTGCACAGTTATGAGCAAAGTGCATATTCAAGAACCAAGTTAACAGGCCACCAGCAGACACCCAGGAATTCCCAGCGGGACACATATATCCCATGAACTGCACTGCAAAATAATAATATTATCATTTGCTCTGCACACCAGCAGGCCTGGGTTTGAATCTCTGCAGTCTTTCTCCATCCAGCTCTGTGGCCTTGGGCAAGTTATGAAACCTCTCGTTGACTCATTGCCGTCATTTGGACAGCAGGATACATAGCAAATTCAAAGAATGGAACTGAGATTAAATGAGATCTTTGTAAAGTGCCTAGCACATAGTAGATACTAAATACCAGCCCTCTTTGCCTCCAAAACGTTTTAGTGTCTAAAGTGTAAAATGTGCCTCATTATTTATACTTTGAGTGAACCAAACCTTGGAACAGGGTTTGCTCCTGTAACAAATGTTCTCACTCAATAATAATATCCCCATTTTCAAATGAAGCTGAGGTTCAGAGAGGTCAGATTACCTCCCCTGGGTCCAGAAGATTAAATGAGATTACATTTGCTAAATAAACTTCCAGCATAACAGATGATCAGTACGTGTATAGCTCTCCTTGTCCCTCCCACATTTAATTTCTTCATGTGACTTTGGTTTAGTGATTGTGTTCATGCTACTATCTTTGGTTTCATCATCATATCCCCAATGCCTGGCACAGCCCTGGCACATGGTAGGCACCCAATCTGTTGAATAAATGACCCAATCTCAATAATTACTTTATTGGAGAAACTCTCTGAAGACTAATTTCCCTTTGAATGAGGCCCAAACAATGTTTGGAACCTGCTCAGGGAGAATCGGGAAAGACTAAGACAAGACTTCACCCAAATATACCTGTGCAAGTTATAAAGATGCTCATGGATAGAGAGCATGACTTCAGCTGGGTGTGGTAGCGTGTGCCTATAGTCCCAGCTACTCAGGAGGCTCAGGCAGGAGGATCATTTGAGCCCAAGAGTTTGAGACTGCAGTTAGCTATGGTTGTGCCATTGCACTCCAGCTTGGGTGACAGAGCAAGACCCTGTATAGGAGACTTCATGACCTCATTATTGTCATTAAGTCATAGAATCTGCCCACATGATGGGCAGCCCTAACTCGTAGCTCACCTTCCATTCACCATCATTTAAATCCTGCTGTTCAGTCCCCCAGTAGGGAGGACAATGTGTTTAAATTACCAGAATGTCTTTTTCGTTTGTTTGAGACAGGGTCTCTCTGTTGCCTAGACTTGAGTACAATGGTGCAATCTCAGCTCATTGTAGCCTTCACCTCCTGGGCTGAAGTAATCCTCCCACCTCAGCCTCCCAAAGTGCTGGGACTGCAGGCATGAGCCACTATGCCCGGCAACAAAATGTCAATAATGGTTACCTCTGGATTGTAAGACTATGGGCAACTTTTGATTGTCTTTTTTTTTTTTTTTTGAGACAAGGTCTCACTCTGTCACCCAGACTGGAGTGCAGTGGCATGATCATGGCTCACTGCAGTCTTGACCTCCTGGGCTTACGCCATCCTCCCACCTCAGATTCCTGAGTAGCTAGGAGTAGGTAGGGCCACAGACACATCCCACTACCCTCAGCTAATTTTTTTTTTTTTAATTTTTTGTAGACACAGGGTCTCACTATGTTGCCCAGGATGGTCTCAAAACTCCTAACCTCAAGTGATACTCCTGCCTTGCCCTCCCAAAGTGCTGGCATTACAATTGTGAGCCATAGCCATATTACTTTTTGTTTTTGAGACAAAGTCTTGCTCTGTCGCCGAGGGTGAAGCACAGTGGCATGATCTTGGCTCACTGCAACCTCTGCCTCCCAGGTTCAAGCAATCCTCCTACCTCAGTAGCTGGGATAACAGGCATATGCCACAACACCCGGTTAATTTTTGTATTTTTAGTAGAGATGGGGTTTCTCCATGTTTGGCCAGGCTGGTCTCAAACTCCAGACCTCAAGGGATCTGCCTGCCTTGGCCTCCCAAAGTGCTGGGATTATAGGCATGAGCCACCACGCCCGGCCCATATTACACTTTTTAATTGAAAAAATTTTTTTCATTTCAACCACAAAACATAGAATATTTAGATTAAGGTAGTAGCTATGGGTAATACTTTTTCTTTTTTATATTTGTATTTTCAAAATCTAGAATATGTGCTACTTTTATGATGGAAAAACAAATTCCATTCTCAATGCAATATACCTCAACAATGTGAAAACAACTTTAATAATTATTATTTTTATTTTGCTTAAAAAGATTTGTGGGACCCCCTAGAATGACCTCAAAGGAGGGATAACCTGAGCTACTTTTTACCGAAATCATGGAAAATGGCAGCTCTCTGATGCTTTAAGGTTTTCAAGTATCGATTTCAGGACGTCACTAAGGTGCCCATCCCAATTTTTAATCTCTCTTAATAATGCAGAGATGTACTCACATCTACCATAATGCTTCTGGCCTCAATTTAAGCCATTTCCTCTATTATTTCCTCTGTGAAAGAAGGAAAAGAACCTTTAAAATGTATTTTAACATCAAAATGCTGAGAGGGTGGTGTGCCAAAGTGATGAGACCGGTGAATGGGTTATTTCTTTGTTTCCCATGATTTATAATAAAAACATCAACTTACACCCTACCCTAAATGCCTTTTCTTTCTCATATAATGATTCCAATATCTAAATATGAAGTTGAGGGCTTACATAAATGGCTTTTCACGGGACTTAACTCCTGAATTCCAAAACCATCATACGAGGTGAATGAGAAAAGTGGGCCAGTAAAGATAAGACACTTTCCCAAGATTGCACAATTAGTTGTTGCTAGAGTCAACATTTAAACCCCAAGCTCCTCATTCCAAGTTCTTTCTAAGGCACTGTGGTAGCCATCAACCAAAATGGCCACCTCCTCGCATTCATATCCTTTTTTAGTCCCCTCCCACTTTGACTAGGGCTGAACTCTGTAACTGTGGAAATGACCATACGTGGCTTCTGGGGCTAGGTCAGAGAAAACATTGCAGCTCTGCCTTGTTTCAAGTCACATGCTCTGGGGGAAACTAGCCACCATGTCATAAGGACACTCAAGCAGCTTTCTGGAGAGGTCTATATGACAGTAACCCCAGACAATTTCACATGACTTCAGCCTTGGCCAACATCTTGCCTACAACCTCATGAAAGACCCCAAGCCAGAATCATCCACACAAGCTGGATCCCAGACCCACAGAAATGGTGAGACATGATACGTTGAATTTTTTGTTGTTGTTTTGTTTTTGTTGTTGTTGTTGTTGTTTGAGATGGCGTCTCACTCTGTCGCCCAGGCTGGAGAGCAGTGGCATGATATCGGCTCACTGCAACCTCTATGGCCCGGGTTCAAGCGATTCTCCTACCTAGGCCTCCCGAGTAGCTGGGATTATAGGTGCCTGTCATCTGGCCCGGCTAATTTTTGTATTTTTAGTAAAGACCGGGTTTCACCATGTTGGCCAGGCTGGTCTTGAACTCCTGACCTCATGATCCACCCAACTCGGCCTCCCAAAGTGCTGGGATTACAGGTGAGAGCCACTGCGTCCAGCCGAGATGTTGATTGTTTTAAGTCACTAAATTTTGAGGTAATTCGTTTCACAGCAATTGACAACTAATAAAGACAGTGTCTCCCCTTCTGAGTGGTGCTTACCTTTTGTGAAGCCTGTTAAAAAGCAATGGACTCTCTTTCCAGAAAAACTTACACCTATTTATATGAAATTCTGTAGTGTTCCAAGGTGTTCCTGGCCCCTCTTGAAACCACAAGAAATAAAACCACATGTCCCAGTTTATCGAGTTAATAGATGCCAGAGCCAGGATTCAAACCCAACTACCTCAACTACACAGCCCACGTCCTCTGCCCCTTTGCCATTCTGCCTTCCTGGAGGCCTGAGCTCAGAACCGCTGCTCTAAGTTAAGTTGTCCTTACATCTTCATCTTCTTTCTGTATTCTATCCCTTTATTTATTTATTTATTTATTTATTTATTTATTTATTTATTTATTTTTAATTTATTTTTTTTTTAGAGTGAGCAGCAGCAAGATTTATTGTGAAGAGTGAAAGAGCAAAGCTTCCACAGCATGGAAGGGGACCTGAGCAGGTTGCCTTATCCCTTTATTCTTATAGGTCACATTTCTCTGGACCCATTTTAATTGCAATTCCTGAGTGACTCATTGGGTATTAGGTCCCAACAAAAACACAAAGACAAGCTCACTGATTCTGAGGGCCCCTGGTCTAATGGGATCTTATAGATGGAAATAAATAACTGTACACATTATTCAAACCTATTTTCTTAGGTCCTTTTGGACAAGGAGGCAGCAACAAACTCTGGGGCAGCCTTCACAGAGGAATGTGAATACTTTAGCTGGGCCTTGAAAGCCCAAAGGAAAAAGGGTGGCTCAGGTGAATTCTGGGCAGAAGTGACAGTGAGTATGACTAGGAGTGGTCTCCATGGGTCTGTGTGTGAAAAGTGCAAGTGTGTTCACTTGGGGATGGGCCAGCAGTCCAGAAGGGCTGGAGCAGGAGACAAAGCCAGAAAGGTGGGCTGAGCAGATCCCAAGCAAAGAAGTCTTGACCACCTCCTATAACAACCAGCTCAATAGAACTATGATCTGAGCTCATATATTGGCTCTTACCCAACCCTGTGGCCCCAGACCCAATAGCAGAGGCCCTGACACAGGTGTTCATCAACGTTTGCTGAATGAATTCATTCAAGCAGAACTAGGTGCTAAGACTGGTCTGTGCTTGGGGCAGGAAAAGCAAGATAGGGTTGCAGAGTCACGCTTGATGCCTCCTTGCATGTCATTTCTTTGGCAAGATTTTCCCTGATTTCCTACATTCATTAAGCCATCCATCCTCCCATACCACTCAATGCATTCTTCAACATATAATGAGGAAAAAATCTAATTAGCTCTTGACATTAATGATGACTTCAATGTCTACTCCAAATTAGACAGTCAGCCAGATGATGTCAGGGACTACTTGCTTCTTCACTGCTCTGCTCTCCATCCTAGAGGAAAGACTCCTCTATCCCAGGAAACAACAGTAATGCAGCATGGGGCACCTTCTTCCATTGGCACTGTTAGCTTCTTACTGGGATGCCAGCCGTGTGCTGAGCTCTGGGGACTTAAGCCTAAATAGACACCATTCCTGTGTTCACACAGATGGATTACAAATGATGGTAAGCTGATCTAGTAGGTGCCCTAGCAGATAGAAGCCTGGGGTGCTGTTAGAGTTGAGAGAAGGGGATGTCTGAAAACTGACCCCAGGTAGGGGAGAAATTATTTCCAAACTCAACAATTATAGTCACTTTGGGTGCAAAATAAACATTCAAAAATGAATAACTTTTAATGTACTACTAATAATTCCATTAGAAAATGGTGGGATTAGGGCCAGGCACAGTGGCTCATGCCTGTAATCCTAGCACTTTGGGAGACCAAGGTGGTAGGGTTGCTTGAGGTCAGGCATTCAAGACCAGCCTGGGCAACATAGTGACACTGTGTCACCAAAAAAAAGAGAAGAAGAAGAAAAGAAGAAGAAGGAGGAGGAGGAAGAGGAAGAAGAGGGAGAAGAAGAACAGGAAGAGGAAGAAAGAAGAAGAAAGAAGAAGAAGAAAAATAATAATAATGGTGGGATGGCTGGGCACAGTGGTTCACACCTGCAGTCTCAGCATTTTGGGAGGCTGAGGCAGGGTATCACTTCAGCCCAGGAGTTCAAGACCAGCCTGCACAATATAACAAGACTTCATCTATACTAAAAATAAAATAAAATAAATTAGCTGCGTATGGTGATGCATACCTGTAGTCCCAGCTACTCGGGAGGCTGGGGCAGGAGAGTTGCTTGAGCCTAGGAGTTCAACATTGCAGTGACCTCTAATCATGCCATTGCACTCCAGACTGGGCAACAGAGTGAGACAAGTCTCAAAAACAGAAAATGGGTTGGGAGAAAAAACAAAATGGGTTGGAAGAAAAAAAATGGTAGGAGAAAAACGATTCTATTCACAAGAGCAATTAAAACATTATACCATCTGAGGCAGGCACAGTGGCTCACACCTGTAATCCCAGCACTTTGGGAGACCAAGGTGGGAGGATCACTTGAGGTCAGGAGTTTGAGACCAGCCTGACCAACATGGTGAAACCCGTCTCTACTAAAAATACAAAAATTAGCAGAGTGTGGTGGCTTATGCCTCTAATTCTGGCTACTTGGGAGGCTGAGGCAGGAGAATTGCTTGAACCTTGGAGGTGGAAGTTGCAGTGAGCCAAGATGGTGTCACTGCACTCCAGCCTGGGTGACAGAGTGAGACTCTGTCTAAAAAAAAAAAAAAAAAAAAAAATTACACGATCTGGAAATAAAGTTAACAAAAATGTACAGGTCTTATATAAAGAAAACTATAAAACTCTACTGAAGAGCATAACATCTTGGACCAGTGGAGATCAGAGCTTTCCTTAGACTGGAAGGTCCTATAACGTGGATATTAATTATCCCAAAATCATCCCACAAAGAAAATGTCATCCCAGTGAAGATCCCAGTGAGATTTTATTGTCAAAACAATCCTAAAATTCAACAGGAAAAACAGGTGCATAATTTTCCTAACAAAAAGACCTAACATTTACTGACCACTCACCATGTGCCAGGTGCCGTCCTGAGGACTTGCGATGCATCATCTCATCACATCTTCACACACTGTGAGGTAGACACTGTTATTGTTAACATTATACAGATGAGGCAGCAGAAGTTCAGAGAGAAAAAAAAAAACTTGTTCAAGGTAACACAGCTAACCTGGGATTAAAGCTCAGGCTGGCTGACCTCAAGCCCCATGAATTTAACCACTTTGCTCTACTGCCAAGAAAACTTTGAAGAAGATTAACAAACTGGGACTTGTTCTGCCAGATACTAAAATGCATTAGATAGCTACAACAACTAAAACAGCAATTTCAACAAAGAAACACAGTCCTATTAAACCAGAGTATAGAAACAGAGCCAGGGTATGAGGAATTGTAGTATATGATAAAGGTGACATTTCCAACTGGTGGAGAAGAAGTAGAAGTCAATAAACACAATGGGACTAGCTATAGGCTAGCCATTTGGAGAAAAATTAAGCTAGAGCTCCACCTCCCTCATTAAATCTAAATAAATTCCACCTAGATCAAAAATTTACATGTGATAAAAGAAACAATAAAAGTATGGAAAGAAACAAATGGATATTTTTATAATCCTGGAACTATTAATACTTTTAACTATATTTTAATAATTAGGCAGTTTTCCTAAGCACAATATGGAAGTTAAAAAATCCTTGGGGGCCGGGCCTGATGGCTCATGCCTGTAATCCCAGCACTTTGGGACGCCGAGGCAGGCAGATCACTTGAGGTCAGGAGTTGGAGACCAGCCTGGCCAACATGGTGAAACCCCATCTCTACTAAAATTACAAAAATTAGCCCGACATGGTGGCACGTGCCTGTAGTCCCAGTTACTTGAGAGGCTGAGGCAGGAGAATCACTTGAACCCGGGAGGCAGAGTTTGCAGTAAGCTGAGATCACGCTGTTGCACTCCAGCCTAGGTGACAGAGGGAGACTCCATCTCAAAAAAAAAAAAAAAAAAGGTCTAAACATGCTATTAACAAAAGAA